CCTGTACTGCCTTTTGTACATCCTTTTGTCAGTGTCTGACATGAGGATGGGTCACAGCCATTGCTTGACCAATTTGCTCTCTGTGAAAGCTTGAGAAAATGACTTTTCTCTCCATGTGACTCTCCCCAGGCTCACTTTAGATCCTCAAACACATTTCTCTGTGGCTCCATAATCTTCTTGATGAGAAAATTTGGAGCACAACTGAGTTACATGTTGTTAGAGTACAGGTTCTCCTATGTCCCGAGTCTTCACTGACCTTGAAAGGCTAGAGCCAAAATGTTGGCTAATCATGCAGCCCTTCCTTTTCTCCATATTTTGATCTGTTAACTTAGGTTGTTAACCCTCCAGAAGAGAAGCTAATTATTAACCTGCAATATATGTAGTTCTGTTTATCCTATGTGTAGAAATATCAAACATTTTGGCATATCCTGGAACAGGTATTTTCCATCAGATATTGATATGTTGAACTTTAAGTCCTTACAGAATATGAAGGAAAAATAATTATATAAAAGTAGAAATAAATAAATAAAAATAAAATAAAATAATATTCTTTGGGGCCAGGGAGATGGCTCAGTGGAATAAGCGCTTCCCTGGCAAGTGCAAGGGCCTGAGTTCAATCCCCGGTTCCGGAAAAATAAATAAATAAAAATAAAATAAAAAGTAGAAATAAGCATTTACATATTTTTACAAAAAAGTTTAGAAACCTAGTCATATACGGAATTGTAAGTCCTTATATTAGGGAGATAATACGATATTTACAGATGTGGGTCTGGTTTATTTCACTAATAAGTAGATCTTCAAAGGGCATCCACTTAAATATGAAGGCTTCACGTTTATCATTCTTTATAGCTGAGTAGTACCCCATTATATAAAAGTACCACATCTTTTTCAACCATTCCACATGTGACAGGCATTTTGGTTGTTTCCAAGTTCTGGCTATTACAAATTGTGCTGCTATAAACATAGGCCCACATGTATCACTATGACATGATGCTCCTGGTACTTTTAAGTGAAGTTTATTCTTAGTAAGTAAAAATGCTTATTGGTTTGCAAAAAATTTACTTAATATTCCCAACAAGCTAAGGTGCAACTATGATCTACTAGATAGGAAAAGAACCAAGAATTTCATTTGTACCGGTGATAAGCTGGCCCATCACAGAGCCCGTCAGCTAGCAGATCTGAGACTTGAGCCCCGTTTCTGCCTTCCTTCCAGTAAGCTATAATAGGTTCCAAAGCTCCTTGGATGGGCTGTTTGTAGCTTGTTCTTTCTTCTCAATTGAATTACCCAAGGATTCTGTCCTACCAGAAATAATTTCAGTATTTAGGGGGCACTAACCATATGCCAGGCACTGTTTTACTTGTGTAAACCAAGTTTCCACCTTTATGGATCCTATTATCTAAAGAGAGGAGACAGACAATAAGCAAGAAAATTAAGTAATCAATACTAAGCAAAACGGTAAGACTGGGAGTGTTTTAAGTGGGTAGTTGCAATATAGAGGGTGCTGGGGTGGGCTCCTGCAGATGACCCCTGAACTGAGACAGAAGGGTTGGGGATTGGCCCGTGGGAGCCCTTGAAATAAAACTTGTTTCTGAATATCGTTTGCACATTACAATCATCACATTTTACAGGATGACATGAGGCCACTTTGAGCTTATTAAACACATAGACTAGGAAGTGTTCCTATTCTCAAAGCAGCCTTTTATAAAAGTTGTAGGGGTGAAGTATTCTGAAACAGATACTGTAAGAATCTTCCATTGCTGTGTTTAAAGAAAGAACTGCCAGAGCACATCTCACACTGGTGTGTACACAATGACGTCAACCTTTTCTTAGTCAATTGCTGTAAAACTATGCACAGCTGCCGAGCATATGGGAAATGTCACGTGACCACTGTGTGCCCACTTCCTGCTTCTTCACTCTTGGAAAATCATCGGGTTGTGTATGTTTACAAAGCAGCAAAGTGCCCACAACTTTCAGAATAAAATAAAAAGAGGGCAAATAAGAGGACGACAGAATTATTAAGCTGACATCAGGTTAGACCTTTTGTGGCAAGGCCTTCATTTGGGGGTCTTTTGATCATATATTAAAATAACTGAGTAAAACAAGCTTTGTGTCCTTATCACCTTCAGGGTAACATGCCAGGGCTGGAGACCTTGTACTGGGATAATAGCCAGGTAAACAGAGGCCCAGGTTGGGCGGGCAGTTGGGCAACAGGTGTGAGCGAGGAAATACATACTTGGTTACTCAGGACTGCACTGCAGCCAACCAGGACTCAGTTAATGGAAAAACAGACTTGTTTCGGAAAATACTAGGTGGTCGCATGCATCTAAAAAGAAAGAAAACTGAATGCATGCAGCTTGTTCAAATTTGTCAAAGTAGAAATAACCAAAAGAAGGGCTGGGGAAATGGTTCAGTGTTATGAATAAACACTTCTCTGGCAAGTGCAAGGGTCTGAGTTCAATCCCCAGTTCTGCAAAAAAGAAAAAAGAAAGAAAGAAAAAAAAGAAACAACCAAAAGAAGTTTTAACTAGAAGTTTTTTGTTAAGCTTCAGAGGGCTGGGAGCAAAGCTGGGCAGTAACCTGCTTTCCTACCATGTGTGAGGGCCTAGGCTTGAGCCTCGCATTGGTGGTGGTGGTGGGGGGGGGAATGTCAGAGTAAAAGCCAGATGACATCAATTATCAACTACTTTATTTTCCAGGATGAGTTTATTACAGCTGACTTGATAATATATCCAAAAGTGTTTATGCACTTTTTTCCATACACAGCTTCAAAATCGTACCATGCCTGTGCTTTAAGTTAATGACACCAACACAACACAGAATTATAAACTTAATTAACCATGTAGTATCACCAAGGTAATGGGAAGTCATTTCCAAAGGATTACTGTAACACATGAGCCTGGGGAAATTCATCCTGGTGTCTACTGCTCACTCCCCAGGTGCTGAAGTCTGTTATATGGCTGCCACTGTATGTTAGGTAGCCATCATTTATTTTAAATTTCTGAAACTGTAACTTCTGATCACAAATGTCTACAAGCTTTGCATTAAGAAAACAACTAAGCAGTAGGGGAAATGGAAGAAAGCAAGCTGCCCCCGCTAAGTGCAAATCTTTTCCTAGTCCGCACTCACGCGGGCTGAGGCTCTTACTGGGGTACAATCAGCACACATGGGGTGTGTACATTTCTAGACAGCTTTTACACTAAGTACAAGGAGAATAATGGTGTTTTCTCCAAAGGTATTTGTGATCATGAAATCCATCAGGACAATAAAGTGCAGATGTGTCACCTGTCTCTATTTGAGGTCTTTCTTCACAGTGCATGGGAAAAGCAGAGGACTCACTCTTCTGTTTGCGTCATACTGGTCTCCAAAGGCAAAAATTAATTTTGACACATCACTTAAACTGCATTCCCCAAAAAGGAGCACTGGCAGTCAATCTAATGCAGCACATGGAGCCTCAGATTACTGGGACACTTCCTGAACTGTGTAGTCGTGAGAAACCTTACCATGATCCAAGGGTAGTAAGCAGCTTTGAAAGATAGGCTAGCAAGAGCCCTGAGACAAAATGACTTGTAGAAAAACCAGATCTCAGACCCCAGAAGTACCTGGCCTAGCTTTACCTCTGAACTTGCTAAATCAAAGGTTATACATCTGTAAAACTCAGGGGGCTGGTCTAAAATGGTATATATTACCTTATCCAAGGATAGTTTTCCTTCTTAGAATATCCAGAGATAGAACTAAAATAAGCAAAGACCCCCTAAATTCAACTTCTGCTTCCTCCATAACCTGCAGACTGGGGTAGAGACTGCTACAAGTCTGCAAGGAGGGCAAGGACCTGCTGTGTATTTCTTTGCAGTTATTTTGGAATTCTGAGACAAGTGACTCACTATGTAGTGCAGGCTGGCCTCAAACTGCAATCCTGCCTCAGCCTCCCGAGCTGGGATTACAGGTGTGTACTACCATACCCAGATTGTTTTTCTAACACTAATAAAATCTTATTCCTAGGAAGGCTAAATCTATTCATTTCAACATGCAGTTTACATTTTTACTGAAAAATATGAGCTTCCTTTCAGTTTTATCAGGGACCAGCACCTGGTATTTTCCTATGGACGGGTGTAAATACTGTTTGAAATTCCTGCAAAGCTTCCCATTTTCCAGAAAGTTACATGGTGCTCACTGCGCTTTGGACGTCTTCTTTTCCTCATTCTGGATTTAACTTCCCCAAGAAATGCATGGGGCATGTTCTAGTTGGTTGAGTCCTATCACAGGTCTTCTATGATTTACTTCCTTTGTGATTTTATTCTTTATAGCTATCAAGGAAGATGTTACCTTCTAACAAATTAACTGCCAAGAGAGCAGCATTACAGATTACAGGGTTTTTGGAGTTTCTACCAACTGCTTGGTAGTTCAGGTTCACATAACTTCTATGCCTACATCCCACCCACATATTGACTCTGATTGAAGGAGGCTCTCCCAGGTTCAGAACACACACTTGTGCTCGGAAGAAGTGTTTCTTTCTACTTTGGGAGACAGTGATCTCATACAGAAAAAGCTGTAGGGCAGAGAAGGTGGAATGGTTGGCTGGGACGTGCAGGAAAGCTGGAAGGAGACAGAATTGTATGAGCTCATTAAAAATCAGTCGCCCACATTATGATTTGTAGTCAGCTAAATCTGGGACAAGGCCTTGACATCTGCATCTGTGAGCAGCATATTTCTACCCCATCCCTCGACTGTGATATAAAGCAGCTTCCAACCTCAGCTTTATGAAATACACAGGCCAGAGCAACTTGTCTGCAGAGGAGAAAATCAGCCGCACATCAGAAATGCACCAGGCACATTGCCGACTGTGACATTCACCCTTGGACAGCTGTTCGTGAGAAGAGCTGCATCAACATGCGTGCACTGAGCACGCTGGAGCACTCACTGCAAAGAGCCACCACGAAGGTTCAGTCTAGGAGTCCACACCTCAGCAAACTCATCCCAAACAAAGTCAACAGCCCACAACTCGGAAGGTTTTTACAGTAAGCAATTACTTTATTTCCTTGGCCTGACATGGTTGACTTCATTTACAAGAACCTGAAGCTGACAGGACACACAGAGTTCCCAACAGAAAGGATCCTTTTCATTAGCAGAGATGAAATGTCACATCAGAGTGCAATTCCTGCTCCCCACCCCCACCCTTGACCCTTAAATGAAAAGAAACTGATTAATCCCCTATGAATTACTAAAAGACATCCCTCCAAACATTTTTAATTAGCAGCTGCAGTAGATGAAAACCAGAGGAGGGAAGCAGCTGGCCGTCACTTAGCATTCCTGTGCGTGAGACTGAGGGACAATGGCGAGGGAGCGAGAATTCTGGATGTGCGGGAAGTGTGGATCATCTACCTTTCCTCATACTTGCACTTCCACATGAAAGACATCTCTATCCCTCTACGTGGGAACTGCTAAAGGCAACACGAAAAAACACTGGCTGTAGCCTGCAACTTAAAGTGCCCAAGGTTCAGAATATTCCTAAGTAGGTGTGAGACAAGGGGCACCAGAGAGAGAGCAGGTTAAGACAGAAGCTTGTCAGTCAGTTCCAGTTTAATGCTATCAAAACTAAAGGGAATCACAATCCCCTCCTGCAAGACTGCTCTTTTTCAAAGTTAAGACAGCTCCTTCTGAGCATCTGTGTGGGTGTCTACTCCATCTCTGGAGAGGGACTGTGACATTCACATCTGAGACTAGCAGGTGACGCAGGGCGTGGAGAAATTGGAAAGATCAAGAGCTGCAATGCTTCAATTAGTGTGGTTGTCTTTTGGTCCCCAGGTGTGGTCCACTGCCACAATTCCTAAGAAATTCCTGTTCCCTTTCCTACTTGTGCAAATGGCAAAAATCGAATCTCTGCCCAAAGAGATGAGAGTTGCTGCTGAATTGCATTCACTTCTGGCTTTAACTTGCCCACCTTCTGACCTACTGTGCAGTCCCAAAACCTTAATTCTAGGCAATGTCATGAACTTAGGACCTCTCCCTCCTTTATCGAAGCCAATCCAGCAGCTCTGTCCTGACATGCTTTCTCCCTGGGCTGAGGAAGCAGCAAAAAAACATCAACTGAGCGTGTGAAGATATGACGACAATGTGTGCATTTTAAGTTTCCAAGGTCTCCTCCTTCCGTCTTCTCCATGGTGGGAGCCCTCCCGCTCTTCCCTCAAGTCCCACTCACATCCCTCCCCTACCCCCATGTCCAGGTGCTCCCATCTGCTGGGCTTCCATCACTCACTTCCCATACACACTTTCATCACTGTAGGCCACGTACAGAAAATAGTCTTCCTCGTGGTTGTCCTAGGAGAGACATGATGGCAGTTCAAGGAAACATTCATAATCATTATCTCTGGAACTATGAGCCCCACATAAGCTCATAAAATAGGCATAAGAGTTGTTATTCACCTCCACTGAAAAGAACAGGTCTGGGTGTAGCCCTGTGGGAGAACACTGCCCTCATATGGTCAAGCCCTGAGTTTGATTCCCAGCAGTGATAAAAATAAGAGGAATAAAAAATAGGCAAAAGTGGCTAGAATTGAGCTCTGACTTCACAAAAACCCTCCACTGAGAACACAATACACACAGGCATCTGGATACAGAGATGATGGGTACAGTCTTACTCTGACACGCTTATTCTAGCAACTGATACTGCAAGACATGTATACTAGAGTATACAATAAAAAGAGTATATGCTATAGAGTAAGGTTAGATTAGGTGTGACTAGACATCCATGTAATTCCCTAATGGGAGATGCAGAAAAGGCATCAGCTATATGAAATCTTTCAGGAATAATGCCATTACAGTCTAAAGACTATACTTACAGTAGCTAAGCCCTTTATAAGTTTTTCTCAGATTCTGGAATTGTGCCAGTTAAACCAAACCATGTAACACCATGAATTTCTATTATAACAAATGAATCAATTTAAATATTTAGCCTTAAATTTCACTTTATCTGACTCACTGTGGTCAGATAATGGGGTATCTGCTTCAAGATTTTTGTTTTGTCCAAGCCACATTTTCAGTTTACATAGGAAGTATGAAAATACAGCCTCGGTCATGGACAATACCTTCAGTAAGAGAAGGGGCTAGCTCACTCACCTTTGTCTTCTCAATCTGCTAAGTGGGAATATAATGAACTGGGACTGGAACAGATAACTGGGTCACAAATTACACATTACTGACAACTGTAGTAAGAACAGTAAAAGCTGCTTTGCAACTTTTTGCTATCAGGCAGCATTTCCTGCTGTTTCAATGAAGGCGAGCCAGCACTAAAGCAGTACAGTCAGGCAAGTCTGAGAAAAGATTTCAAAAGGATTAAATCTAGTATTGTGCCCAATCTCTACCAGGACAAGAGGCATCTAATCTCCCACAGCCTTACACTGCCACGTGTAAGAGGATCCTGATAAAAAACACCTCCTGCCCCACTTCTAGCTATGTCATCAACATACACTAAACAAAAGCAAGAGGATGCCACCCTCCTCAGCACTGAGACAGGACCATTACCTCATACAGCTGGCCCATGGTAGCGCTAGTGGGAGGGATAGTGTTGTTCACAAAGAAGAATAAGGCGTCCTCAGGTCTCAGGTGGATCCTCTTCCGGATTAAGAAGTAGAACTGGCCAACTAGATGAAGGAGAAGGAAAAGGGCAAGGAGAAAAAACAAATAGGGGATTAGTACCAGCTTTATATGCCATCTGAGCAGGGTAAACAGCAAATCTCAAAGAGGTCTGTGTAACCCCTGACATGCCACACGGAGATCATTGCTCCTTAGTTTCAGAACTAAAGCTAGCACATTCACTTTTGAAAACCACACCAAGGGAGTCTACGTAGAATAAGACATTCCTCCATTTCTAAACCTGACTTCAAATACTTTCCTATCCCCACTTTCATCCTAAGATAAACTAACAGGAAAAAGGAGCCAGAATTTCATAGTAACATTAGCACTCAACACAATGTTAAGGCAATGAGAGTTCCATGTTTAACATTTTCCCAAGACTACTGAAAAACTTCTACAAAAGTGACAATCCATTATATTAATTCCCCAGAAAATTTTCCTACAAAACCCAGGGTATCCTGGATACAATGGAAATTCCATTTGAAATAAAGGTAGAGACTGCACATGTTCTCATAATTCCAAATGGAATCCACAAAACATGATTATAAAAGAAACAACCTTTAGGAGACAAATATTTAGTCAAATCTCTAAAATATCCTCCCCAAATAGGACTGGTTTTTCCGTTGGAAAAAATTACTACCATACAAGCAAGACTGAATTTTAAATGTGTTTAAAAATGAATGTCTTGTCATTAAACATCTTTGGTTTCCGCTGTGTCTAAATCAAACAGGACACAGTGGTGGAAAATGGTACAGGGCACTGGTGATGAGAGTGGGATCGGCTCTAGCTGCATGCTATGTTAAAGGGTCCTCATACTCATTCACTAACTCTGATGCAGGTTACAAGGACTGAGAATGGTCTGTCCAGGACTGAAGGTCCCTGGTTGGGAAAGGACATTACCAGTAAGGTCAGAGGGCACTAGGTACTTCCTCTTGTCCAGATCAGGCACCCTGGCCTTAGGAGCCTTCTCCACGATGACCTGGAAGGAAAGTAGGAGAATGGGAATCAAAACTATAGGCCAACAGTTTTCTCTTCCTACCGCACAGCCACGTCACAAGAACTGAGACTATCGAGGCCTGATGCAAATTTCCATTCCTCACATCACACATCCCTCTCATTTGATTTTAAGTCATTACAAGTTACTAAGAGGTACACTACAGTACACACTTCCTTTAAGGCATTTCATTAGAATATGAAGACTTTGTGGATTTTCTCAGATGGTTCTATCACCCATGAGTTTTATTCTATCTCTAAAATACCCTTTATAGCCAGGGCTGATAGCACACACTTGTAATCCCAGCAACTTGAGGATGAGGCAGGATTACCTTGAGTTCAAGGCCAGCCTAAACTGCATGGCAAGACCCTGTCTTAGAAAAACAAAAACACAAAAAGGCCACATGCTAAGTGACTAGCCCCCAGCTAGGTGATATTGGGAGGTGGTGGAATCTGAACAGGGGAGGCGTCAGCTCACTGGGGACATATCCTCACAGGCAACTGTGGATCCTGTCTCTTGTTCTTTCTCTTCCGTTTCCACATGACGTGAGTAGTTCTACTCCACCAGGGCTCTCATTCGTCAAATACAGGGAAGGATGGCACCAATTTACCTCTATGGAATGAAGTCAATGAAACCGTGGGCTGACAGAAACCTCTTTGCAAACTGATTTTCTTAAGAATTTGTTACACTAATGGAATCCTGAAGTAAGACATAACAGTAGTGAGGTCTATTTTGTCAAAGTTTTCAAGGAATGATTGCAAAAGCACTGAAGACACTCAAATGAAAACCTATCAAAAGTTTTTATAACAAATGAGATTGCAGGATGATGACAGTACATTAAACCATTTATCAATGTTGGTTAAATTAAAATTTAAACTGCAAAAAATTTTAAACAGCACAGTAAACACTTCTGTGTCAAATGTAATAAAGTTCATGTATTTCCCTAATAAAAAAATGAAGATACATAAATAAATACATACATACATTATATATACATATATATTATTCTTTTAGACATAAGGTATCAGAAGTATCAAAATATTAAATGAAGCAGAAACAATGGACAAATAGCCCTAGGAGCTGTGACCTTCAACAGCTCAGTTAACATCTGAGCTTCTGTATACAATGAGTATCCTTCCAATGAAAGATAATTTTCAAACATACCTTTTACAATTCACGATACTGGCATTATGTGAATTTAAGTAATATGTAATATTTTATGTCAAATGCTTTGCAAATTATTAAGAAATCTCTATCAACGTGAAGGCAGTGACTGGAGCTTTTAAATTAAATACTGGGGCCTTTGCTCATTGTTATCATAAATGAGGCCCTGGGTTCAAAGTGTAGCAACAAAGTACTTCCAAAGTCAGCACAAGAACTTGTGTAGACAGAGGTGAGTCATAAGTTGAAAATAAAAGGTAGAAGAATTTCAGAGGGAGCCCAGTGAAGGGTGTCGAATGAGGATGGATGGACAGGAGACTGCAGATGTCTTGCAAACCTCAAATGGAACAGCCAGCCTGGCACTACCCCCAGGCACAAGGCCCAGCAGCTCCTGTGGAGAAGACAGAAGGAAACCAGAGGAAGGAGGAGCAGGACCACAAGAAAACAGATGGAAGGGACACATAGGAAGGACATGGGGAAGAACAGGAAGAGGAAGGTGATTTTTTTTAAGGCTCTTACTGACCAGCAATCATCTAGGTTTCTTGGAAACCCAACCGTACTCAGTGAACCCTGAACAAGATTTGGCTCTCAGATTTCTTCTGTGAAAGGCAGCCAACACTAAGCAGGGATAATTACATTTTTTAAAAAAAAAGACAAATAGCCAGCATGCTGGTGCGCACCTCTAATTCCAGCACTCAGGAGGCTAAGACCATCCTGAGTTTTAGACCAGTAACACAGAAAGCTCAGTGTCAACCTGAGCTACACAGCAAGACCCTCTGGCAAATAAGGAGAAGACAGGATTCACCCTACAGACACTGGGATTCCTGCGATAACACTGAATTAAAGCCGAATTTCTTGAGCTAACAGGGTAGCTCAATGGTAAAAGTGCAATGCTTCCCAAGCTGGAGGTCCTAGGTTCAAATGCAGGACACAAAACTATGCAGGTAGCAGAGCCCTTTTGACTCACTTAGGGTCATTGTATGTAGGAGGCTCCACAGTGAAACATGACTGAAGGAGCCAGAGACAAGTGACGGTTTTCATGGTTTATAAATTGTAAGTAAAATATTTAATACTGAATTATAAACAGGAAAACTATCGGGAGGAATAGCAAAAATATTCAGGGCCAATTCAAGTAAATGATTGAAATGGAAAAGGTTCTGTTTTGAAGAAATATACTGGCATTTTAATTTGGGAACACGTACACCCTAGATTTCATGATTTATGCAAAGCCTACTAGAACAGAGCCTGTCCTTGTTGAATTTTGAATAAAAGGTAATTCTGCTTAAGTTACCTGGCTGGCACCAGGCTACTCCATGAGGGCAGTAATAGTTTATCTCAAGTACTCAGCAACGTCACATACATGGCATATTATTAATTCTGGCTAATAAAAGTGTAAATTTAAAAATGATATGGCATAGAGATCAGAGTCTCTCAAGCTCTACCCTGTGACAGCCAGGGTTGGAATCCCAGCACTGCCACAGGCCAGTAATGTCACACTAGTTACACCTCACCTCTCTGTAATTCAAACGCTTTACTCCATAGAACTGGGCTAACAATGGTGTGAGAACTGCGTGAACACATCAGCCAAGAACCAGAACACTGCTTGAGTATGTGGCTAAAATGTCTCTGGAATTAGCTGTCATTTTTAAGTATTAAAGATGGGGATTAGCATTATCAGACTTGAAGCAAACTTTTAAACCTGTCACTCAAATCCAGGGATCACATACTGGTAAAAAGTAGAAATTCTTACTTTGGCAGAAAACCCTTGTGTGTAAAATACCCTGGGTACCACAATCCTAGCCATTACATAAAAAAGGAGTTTCTACTGCTGGGCTAATGCCCAAGGTTCCTTCTAGTAGCTACAAGTTCATAAGTTAGGCAAGGATAGAGTCCCAAAGAGTGTCTGTGGGTCAAGAAGAAAATATCACATAATTCCTATTTTTTAAAAATTACACATACTTATCCGAGTGTCTTCACATGAAAATAAAAACACAACCTTCAAGCGCTCCCGACTCCCAACATCTCTGAAATCCAACAACTGCTGTTCTTTCTACTACACACACACACACACACACACACACAAGAAAATCTGCCTTCCAGTGTAGCTGCGCAGCCCACAAGGGAGAAAAACCCGGCAAGTGGGCGGGGGAGGGGGGGGAGAGAGAGAAAAACACCCGGATGCTGAGAGATACCTTAGCATTTCTCCCCCTTCTTCACTGCCTGCTCTGGTTTCAGGTATTTAAAACCAGGAGTTGATATCTAAGAAAAAACTTGATCGGGCCTCGCTGGGCCTGGGGAAGGTCGGATTAAATCAGTACCCCTGCCGGCCGGCCGGCCCCACCTGGCCCTGGAGCCAGGAAACAGCAGGCGGGCTGCAGGGCCCGGAACGTGACCTTGCATCCGGGCCCGTCCGGGGCCTCCCCGCGCGCGCACTGGGAAAAACCAGGAAAGACGCCGCTGGCTCCTACATTTTTTGCTCCCAAGCCTATGACAAGAGGGCAAAAGTAACCTCGATCCATTCAGGCAGACACCGAGGGGACCCAGGCGCAGCGCCAGCCGTGCCCGTTCCCCGCGCTCCCGGGGCAGCAGATCCGGGCCCGGCGGATGCGCGACACCGAGGCCCGCGGGCGCCCGTCCGGCCGCACGTGCGCGCGTCATGCTGAGTCACGGGAGCCGCACGAAGCTGGGGCCGGCCGGGCCGGCGGGTCTGGAAGGTCGCAGGCCGGGCCGGGCCGCCGCGGGGAAGGCTCGGGTCTCGGGGCGGGCTGTCCCGACACCTCTGCTGCACCCAGGGCCCTCGCGCCGCCCCCGCGCTCCTGCGCCGCCCGGGGCTCGCTCACCGGGACCCTGTCCGGGTACTTCTTTCGGATCTTTTCTCCTTCCTTTTTCCGATACTCGAAGGGATGGTCCTCCTTGTACTGGAACTTCATGGTGGGCCGCAGGCTCGCTTTCCAGATCCCCGCGCGGGGCCTGCCTCCCTCGCTGAAGAGTGCGTCGCGCGCGTCCCGCCGGCTCAGGCCGATGGCAGGGCTCCCAGGATCGCTCCAGAAACTGTAGCTCCCGTGGCCGCTGCACCTGACCAGCGTTCAGAGAGCTCGGCGGCCCGGAGGCGATGAGCTGCCAGGTGGAGGAACCCCTGTGGCTTCCCCGCGAGCGGAGCACGAAAACACGGGGGCGGAGCGATGGTGTGGTGACGTCATCTGGCTCCGCCCACGACACGCCCCCGGGGCACGGGATGCTCCGGAGGGGGAGGACAGGGACCCCTACGTTCTCAAATTCTTTCCTTCCCTCTTATAGCTCTTCCAAATTATTTCCTTATCTCACAGAAGAATATTCCTTTCGTTGCTTTATTGTGATTGTCTCATTAATAATGGTTTTCTAGCCGTAAACAGGTTCTGATGATGCGTTCTTCCTTCACTTCTGCATTCTTGGTTGGGTCCCATAACAAATACACAAAGAGCCTGTAGGGATCTGGAGGCCGGCGGAAAAACAAGGGCTGAGGCTTTTGGGATTGCTTGCACTCGGGCTGCGAAGTCTTGGGCTTGCCTTTTCACCTTTCCGACCCGGGCATCCGAGGGCTGGGCTAGCTTGCTCCGCCAACGGCGCCCCACCCTCGCTGCAGTGCTTATCAGAAGGGCACCCGGAACAGCGTGACTCAGGAGTTCGTGGGTTGAAGGGCAGAGGGAGTGAGACTAAGTTCCCCTAAGTGATGCCTGCTAAGAGCTCCCTGCACTTTCTGACAGACAGTATTTGCGGTTCACCCAGAAGCTGGGGCTGTCTTCTGGGAAGGAAACATCAAGCATTTTTGGGTGATTAACTCTATCGTTCTCAAAACGTTTTTTTTTTTTTTTTTTTTTTGAACTGGCGTAAAAATTCACCCAGAGGATAGATGCAGTGGTTGAGAAAGTGTGGCTTGGAGGGAAGACTCCAGGTGGGGCCCTCTTCTAGTGCTCCTGTTATTCTACTCAGGGCCTGAGGACAGAGATTCCTGGGATCTGAGGAGGGCATCAGAAATGGAAAAAGAAAGGAGTAGTGCTGCCTGGCCCTGTGCAGATCCAGGCTGAGTTTTAAAAAATACTGGACTAGGGGTCCAGGGAGATGGCTCAGTGGAATAAGCGCTTCCCTGGCAAGCGCAAGGGTCTAAATTCAATCCCTGGTTCAGAAAGAAAGAAAGAAAGAAAGAAAGAGAG